ATACAATTCCGAAGGGCAGCGTTTGGGAAACTCATTTCTTCTCGTCTGAAATGCCTCAGTTCCTGAAGACCAAGGTCTCTGAATAATACCACGTGTTACCAGTGATGATATACGTATTAGGTAAGGAGCTGAAACGTTGTCCTTGTTAATGGTGCTCACGCACAGGGAGCGATGGAGACAGCTGTGCTCTCTGTTTGTATACGTGATCGGATCTGAAATTAGGAAATCCGTAGAAGAACTAGAAAAACCGACATAGCTTTAATAAAAAGAGAGTTGTACCTAAGGCAAGGAGATAGCATCTCACAGAAACTGTTCACGACACGCCCGGATACTTAAAAATGTAGATAATGCGGAGGCTCCGCATGAAATCACAAACTCCAAAATAATGTTCCAGGACGCAAGTACAAAACACACATCAGGAAACCGTATCGAAGGAGTGAAAGACTATATAATATATTTAGGGTTACTCATTACATTCGAGTAAGCGGGCAAGCTAAAGAAATTGACCGTATTTATTAAAGTTTGGTACACAAAACAGATTGCATCGTTACATGGTAAGCTATATTAGTAAGAAAATAGAAGTTTAATGTAGAGTAAAATTCATGGTCGATTCGATGACATCGCTAAGGTAGTAGGAGGAAGGAACTGTATCCAGATGGCACAACAAAGTGCAAAAAAAAATGGCCGAGCAAATTGGTCTAACATGGAGGAAACCTATACCCAGTCAGTAGATAAAGGTACAAGGAGAGAAGAGAGATACTTGCGTGCGTCAGTAGTATTTTTAGAGTTATAGGTTAATCTTTAAACCCTTTCATGGGGTATTAAGCGACTAGCACAAGACTTTTGGAGACAGTGCTTTGGGTACCTTACGTAGTTTCATCGTCGTTATAAATGAACGAAAATGACCCTTTTGGTGGTGTTATTAATAAAGAAAGGCACCCTGGTTTGGTTGGTATACTCTCAAGTAGTATTCAGGTTACTTTGGAAAAAAATGGTAGTTAACAGATAGTTAGATTTTTATTACTCTTACAATTAATTGTACTGTAGTACTGTGACTTTAATTGTTTTGTAATTTAAAATATTTTTTATGTTGTTTATTTTATAAGTCATTAATTAAATTGTTGTTGTTGTTATTGCGGGATTGTAGAAGAATTACTAATTTATTGTACATGGTGGGCGGCATGTTTGACTTGTTAAAGTAACTAAAAGGTTTAGTACTTTTGTGAAATAGACTACGCTACTACATTGAATTGTGTTGACATCATTTTTAGGGTTCCGTAGCCAAATGGCAAAAAACGGAACTGTTATGGATTCGTCATGTTTGTCTGTCTGCCCGTCCGTATGTCACAGCCACTTTTTTCCGAAACTATAAGAACTTTATTGTTGAAACTTGGTATTTTACAAGATTTTCACATAAAAATTGAAAAAAAAAACATAAATTTTCGAGTTCCCCATACTTAGAACGGAAACTCAATTTTTTTTCATGTAACCCATACGTGTTGGGTTTCTATGGATAGGTCTTCATAAATGATATTGAGGTTTCCAATTTTTTTTTCTAAACTGAATAGTTTGCGCGTTTTTTCCAAAGTGGTAAAATGTGCCCTGTAACTTCTAAAATAAGAGACTGATAAAACTGAAATAAATATATAATGTGTACCATGCAAACTTCCACCGAAAATTGGTTTGAATGAGATCTAGTAAGAAGTTTTTGGAGTTTACTCCTTAAGAATCGATTTGCATATATAAGGGGCCCAGTATGAGAAAAATGTGAGGAGTAAAATCTATCGATGAATGACCTCGTTACGTTTTTGGTGCGCATCCTATGTCGCGCAACTTTGACAAACAAAGATGACGGATTGACATTAATAAAATTTTTAAAATCTGAACTGAATTAAGATATTGTTTCTGATAGAGCAATGGGGAAAACGAGGTATGGTACAACCATTGATGCGGTATTTTCAAGATTCGTGAACCACGTATCTACGAACGTCCATGTGTCTTATTGTAGTTATCATAAACCACTTGTCACTGTAATTAATAATGCAGACAATGTTGATTCAATTAATATTTAAAAAAAATTATAAGTCTGATAATAATAATTACATAATTTATCAACATTCCTAATGATATATTTATGCACATCTGAAATTGACTATTGTAAAATGTTTAATGTAAAATATTTCGTCGATTAGTTATAATAAATGTATATGAAATGAATAAATATATATTTATATATGTATATTATTTTCATTAATTTGTTAATTTACCCTTTCATACAGTATCAATCTTTTTTAAGTTAAATAAACTCTTTTTGCGTCTGGTTATACTATCGAACTTAAGGAGTAAACTCTGTGCGTCGGAGCTGACACACACATTTTTTTTTGTAATACGTCATAAATCGTAAACCGCAATAGGGGTGATGACTGGGTACAGTAAACGAAATTATATTTAGTCTGTCAGTTAGATGATCAAAAAATAATGGACACGTATTTTTTCTTTGGGCAATCAACCAAAAAATGACAAAGTTATAGCGCGTCAAAGTTTGGGAGTAGAGGCTCGTGACGTCACTTTTAAGTGAATTTTCACTTAAAAGTGTACCAAAACGTGACGTCATGCGACTTTTCAAATCAATATATCTCTGCAATGTTTATATTATGTGAAAAAAGAAAAAATACGTGTCCAATACTTTTTGATAATCTACTTGTTTTGACGACCTCCGTGGCCTCCCGGGTTCGAATCCCGGTGGGGGCAGATGTTTGTGTGATGAATACGAGCATTTGTACTCCAGTCATGGATATTTAATATCTATTTCTATATAAATATACTTATATATGTACAGTATATGTATTCTATCCGTTACCCTAGCATCCCATAACACAAGCCTTATAGTGCTTACTTTGGGGCTAGGCTAATTGGTGTGAATGTTGAAAATATTTATTATTATTTACTTGATAAACGAAGAAAAAACAATTAGTCATCATCCCTATTTACCTTTCATTCAATCAACTCAAATATAAAAAAAACATATAACTAAAAAATTAAAAATTAAAAAATACACTATTATTAAAACATTGATCAAAGTTACAACGAACTACAAGAACTTTTATATTATGTTACTTGCTGCTACGGAACACTTCATGGGCGAGTGCGCTTCGCACTTGGCCGCTTTTTTTTACAGTTACAGAGTATCTTGATTTAAATTTGTTCGGCATACCATTCTTGTAAGTACATGTATTTCTACACAATTATAAGATTTTTAAGGTAGTTGACATTATTAAAATGCGAAGTACTACTTTAAAAAGTTCCTTCGTTATAAAAATACACACATCAAAAGTGTCTAGGGATCAACATATATTTTTGCAATAACTTTTCTCCTGATTGATATTAATTAAAATTTTCTTTAAGGATTCATCAAATAAAGTGTTTTCGTTTGTCACAGTAACGATAAACCAAGTCACCTTTGCATTAATAAAGAAATTTGCCATTTTCCTAATAAAGGGATTTTTGACATTTGAACCACTAACACAAAAGTTCGAAAAAAAGACTGAAATAACAGTTTTCTCTAAAATTTTATTGGGTAACTTAAACAATTAATAATCCGTATTTCTACCGCGAACACTAACAACACAAGAACATCGGTTTGGCATACTCAAAATGAGTTCATCCAAATCACGCTGTGGAATGGCCGCCCATGTTCGTTGCAACAACAAAAAAAGGTCTTCTTGCGACTGGATACCCTCCATATTCGGCAGAGCTCTTCTCTGTAGCATATCCCATGCATGCTCAATCGGGTTCAAGTCTGGCGACTGAGCAGGCCAGGGCAGGACATTGATGTTAGCTGCGGCGAGAGTCTGTCTTACAACTCTTGCGGTGTGCGGTCGTGCATTATCATGCATTAACTGAAATAAGGGACCGATTTGCACTTGTAGAGGAACGATGACGTCTGATACAATCGTCTCAGCATAAATTTGAGCGTTGAGGTTGCCTCTGATCCAAATCAACTCAGTTCTTCCGCCGATCCAAATACCCGCCCATACCATGATGGTTCCACCACTATAAGGATGGACTTCCTGGCAGGATTTTAATCGCTGTTGGCGTCCAGGGGTTCTCCAGTGTCGTATACGTCTTGTATCCGGTCTCATACCAAAACGAGACTCATCAGAAAAGCACACGAAACGCCATTGTTCTTCTGCCCAATTTCTGTGTTCAAGAGCCCATTGATATCGAATCCTACGATTGTGCATTGCTATAGGTGGTACCCGTAGCGGTCTTCGGGAATGAAGGTTCACTTCATGCAAGCGGTTTCTGACTGTTTGGTCGCTAATTAAGTTCCCTGAAGAGTGATGAAGCCTCACGGCTAACATCATGGCGGTTATTGTTGGAGCTCTTCGAGTTAAGATTTGAATGTATCGGTCTTGTCTCCGTGTGGTGCAGCGATACCGTCCTCCATGGCGCTCAGCCACGGTACCAGTGCTTCGGTATCGTGTCCAAAGTCGACTGATAACACTCTGACTTGTATTCAGAGCTAAAGCCACAGTACGTTGCCGGGAACCAGCTTCTATCATTCCCACGGCTCTGAGCATTTCTTCCCTGCTTAAATGACGTCGCCGCCATAATAACGTTGGTTTTAATCAGTAGTAGGGAAACAGTAGCACTAATAATGTCTTCAATGCGTTGTATGTTTTTATAGGGAAAATATTGACAGCTGATTTTCATCTTTTACTCGAATTTGATTCACAATTCCTGATTCAAATTATGAAATGCACCAAAAAGGATCCATATAAATTTATAAAATCATAAATTTATTACAAAGCCACATCTCAATCTCAAGAAATCCGCATAAAAATGCTTGATCCCTAGACACTTTTGATGTGTGTATAAATCTGGTTTAAAACATACACTATACTAATGCCATTTAGCTAAAATCTTTACAAGCAAGACAGAAAAATATAGAGATTACTGATAAAGTTTAGTTAGATTGATCTAAAATAAATACGTACATCTTTTCCGAGTTTAACCTTGTGCATCTTTGCCATATTTTGTGCTACAAGAGGCCATATTTTATCATTTAGTACTGAATCAACAGTAAGAGTTACTCCTGGGTAATATTGATAAGCCAAACCATTTTCAAATATTCCATAAACTTTAGGTGCAAGGCCAAGTTTATTTAATGTTTTGATGTTTCTGTAAAGTTGTATCACAATTATGAAAGAGTTATACAGTAAACATATAATCATCGTCAATCAACAACAATCAATCATTTGAAGTAAAAGTGTATCTATTTGTAGGAGGTTTATCATAGGAGATTTTGCTGTTTCATAAAAATACTACGGTACCTTACTATGGTAACATAGCAGCAGTTGCCATTTCCATTATATTTGTATTGTATTATGGATATCATTTCTGAACACAGAACATTTATGTTCCTGATTTGATGGGATTGAAACCTCAGATTAATATCTAAACTAAAGAGAAGAAACGGTTGAAATATGCGAGAGGTAAAATATGATACGAAAGAGAACATGTTATTTGCTACATTCGCTTTTTGTAGATAGGTAACTAACTATATTCTGCGTGCAGTGGAAATCACCATGTCTAATGAGGTGTCTAAGTAAGTCTGGGTTTGATTTTTACTAAAGTTTGTTTTAAGAACCCAAAGGATCAATACTTTTGTAACTTTTCGTAGTAAATAGGCATACCTATATACTATGATATCCAAAATTTAATACTTTCAATTTCTATGAAATGAAATTTTACGCAGTTACTACAGTAAGTTACGCAACTAGGTACCTACTTCAGTAGAATTATTACAATAGTAATATGTTTTTGAAACTTTTTACTTGCATAAAATAGAGCTCTGTTGGTGTGGTGTCGATATTGCTATCTATAATAAACCTTATTATATACTATCCGTACTAATATTATCAATGCGAAAGTGTGGTTCTCTGTTACCTCTTTACGCGTAAACCGCTGAACTAATTTGTATGAAATTTAGGACTGAAATAGTTTTGAGCCCCGGGGAAAGATATGGGATAGTTTTTATCCCAGAAATCATCCTTGACGAGGGTGAAATGTGACGTCAGTTTTTATGGAAAACCAGTTTATTGACGCAGACACAGTCGTGGGCACCCACCAGACAATAATACGTAGTAATATTTTTATTATAGGGGGTGATAAACAAAGGTGATCGAAGTTATCAAAGTTAATGTTAAAACTGTAAATAAGGAACTGTAGTTCAATCTGCCACTAGTAGCCCAAGAGCTACTGAACCCTCCGAGTAACGGTCTGTCTGTAAGGCTAGAAATTCTTATGGTGATGAGTCATAGCATGCTTAGTACGGTAAACATCGTCTGGCACTCCTCAGCCCTGCACGTCATCAAGCCGTATATTTTTGAAAGTGTCAAAAAATATTAAAAAAAAACTTGTTGCTGTAAGCTTGAAATTTTTATACAATGTAGTTTATTCATTTTTAAGTTTAAAAAAAATATTGCCAGACGTTTACGATGTGCACAATACGATGTGCCAGACGAACCGGAAGGTGTGTAATATATACATAAAAATAAACTTTATTCTGTAAAGTTGAAATTTATATATGTGTGTTTGTTTAAGCGATTTAAAGTTAGTATGTAGAATGCCAGACGGTTCTGGCTAGCACAAGTCCTTGCCAGGTGAGGAGAAAGATGCTGCGGCAGTGCGAGTAAGTCTGAGGAGTGCCAGACGATGCTTACCGTAATAAGCATGTTATGACTCATCACCATAAGAATTTCTGGCCTTACAGACAGACTGTTACTCGGAGGGTTCAGTAGCTCTCCTACTATAATGACAGGATAAATGGTGGTGACAAAATAGTTAGTCAGAGTTCGTACTAACTCAGTGTCCTTGCAGAATGCTGAAATTTTATCGGCCGATAGTTTAGTCAGACCCTGCTGGCTCAGAACTAAAGACATGCTAGTGCGCATCTTACAATGATTAAGGTAGAAGCCTACAATGAAACTAATAAAATTATAAGCAAACTAGGTATCTGTTTGAATGTACAGTAATAAGACCCATCGTCAGCTACGCAATGGTAGTGTGGTGGACTAAGGCAACTTAGCTGGTGACTCCTATATTAGATAAATAGACATTCTAAATTTATGAGATCTCCATAAACAACAGGTGGCAACTGCATTGCTGGGATTATGCAGAGACGACAACATACCACATACTCGCATTCTCAAAGGCATTGAAGAAGAATATTACAATTACATGATACCAGCAGTACGTGTTTGACAAAAAACATAAAATTCAACTCTATGAGGTCGTACTGGAAAATACCATCACAAATTCACAAGAAGTTAAGAGTAGTTATAATTTTTATTTTTAAAGCATGTAACTGCTTGATGTTTAAATCTAAAGAAAATATAACTAGAAAAAACTCCACGCGAACCAGGCAGCAGACAGGACTCGAACCCGCACCCTTCGCAATCCGGGCGAATGCACTGACCAATGCAACTGACCATGGATTCCAGGCGGCCAATCGCCTAACAGGATTGCTTGGCTATCTCTATCGCTTACGATTTCATTTTGTTAGTTCTAGATTTTCAAATGCCCCGCGCTCTGTATTTTTCTTTTAAATTGGTAACAACAATATAAAAGAAAATAAGCGTATGGTATTTGAAAACCTTCGGCGGTCAAAAAATAACAAAATGAAATCTTAAGCGAATGTGATAGCCATAGCATATAAAGTTACACTTTAATGCATAACAGGGCACAGCAGTTGCACTTTCATGTCCGGCAGAAAACAGTGAACTTCATAGTGGAATATGGGAACAATATCAACGCCAGCACGATGAATACTGTACTGGACTCCTTGACTGCCGGCAAGCCAGGGAGGTACAACTCGCAATACAATTTATTGACACATGAGATGAGACTAGTCATGAGTATCTTTAAAAGACATCTTTATAAAAAAGGCTGTTTTTGTTACGCTACATCAGTGTTCACTAGGAGTCGGTAGTGATTTGGGACCGGGACCACTGGTCCTGACGGGGACATGGAATTAATAAATTATTTTGAGGCGGCATTCGGGACCGAAGCTAGTGGTCCCGAATGACACCTATGTTTAATGATTATTTTGAGTGGTAAGTTGGGACCAAAAATAAAGAAAGAAGTGTTTGATTAAAAAGTACAGTTAACGACAAAAGCTCGTTAATATATTAGTATTCGGGGTGATGACAAATATAAATGAAACATCATGATAATCAATCCAGCCACTCTAGAGTAATAAATGTATAACGAACTGAACTAAGTTCTTTATTTAAATAAACTTATTCAAAGTAGGTAGTTTAATTTAAAACGAACAAAAAAGAACATGGTGTTTATGTTATCGGTAGGAAATGCACACACTAAAATGTTGTGCACATGCGTAGTGCTATCTCTCTTATGCATCCCTATTGTTTTTATTTAAAAGTATATTGAAATAAATAATTGGATTAAATTGTGAAACTGTAAAAACGAGAACCATATCTTTTTATATAAAGTAGCTTAGCTTTTTACATATACTTTAAACAAAAAAGGGCCCAGTTACTATTTAGCAAATCAATCCAGATTGGTTAAGTGATGATTATGACATCTCATCAATGTCATCAATGTTATGGCGATGGTAATGTCAAGTGGGTCAAACTATGAATACATACTCAAAAAGACTCATAAAAATGGATCAAATTTATGGAGGTGCCGAAAGGTTTTCTACAATGCTACAATTAAAATAATGCATGGAACAATTGTTAATTCAACCAATCACTGTCACCCTCCAAGAAAAACATCAGAGCAGATATTGTATGTGCTTTTACCTGATAAAACCCGTGAAACATACGCCATTCTTTTTTCTTTAATAAGAAGTCGTATACCTCAGTGGAACCCTTTAAAACTAAGCATGGATTTTGAAGTGCCTGCCATATTGGCAATCCGGAGCATTTTCCATTTTACTAGATGTTTATGGAGAAAAGCAAAACAGTTGGGCAAAATACACGTAAAGTTATGTTCAGTACTGTTCCACCTCCCGTTACATTTGTTCAGTGAAGAGTGGTTTTACAAAATGGAAGAATGTCCGAAGGGCAAAGGCAGCTTTTAATGATTATTTTGTCAGCATCTGGTTAGAAAATGACATTTATTTTCCAATATGGTACACCTAAGATGAAGGCCATAAAACAAACAATATAGTAGTATGGCACAACCACGTAACAAGATATATGAAATCAAAACCTAATATAGTTAAATTTTTGGAGGGCATTAGGAAGGACAGTAGCTTTTACTGCAATAAACTCAAAAAGACGAATAATATTTCCAGAAGATCTGCTGAGAGTGTAGCAACCAAAGAAAAGATCAATCTGACATTGCAGGATTTAATAAATGGCCAAATAACTGTCGGTCATTGTTTAGAGAAGCTAAGATTTTAAATTCAGTAATGTACATCAATTCCTCATGAGACTGATACGGAATTATTACTTATTATTAGCAACAATATTTACAAAAAAATTGGTATCAATATAAATGTTATATTTTTTTAAAATTATATAATGATTCTGAATACTTTAACAAAATCGTTAAAGGGGGGTTGAATATTATGTTTAGGGTTGCAACGATATATCGGAATATCGATAATATCGATATCGGAAATTCCAAAATATCGATATTTCGTAGACTAAATTTAAACACAATAATATCAATTAATCTACCTGCTATGACTATCTTAATTGAATAAAATAACTATTGCTTTGAAATCGCAAGAGCTTATAGATGTATTAAAAAAATCTTGAACCCCAAGAAATATACTAAACTGATGTGGATTCTGGCATGATTCTCTCAACCTAAAATTAAATTTGACAACATTGTATTCTTGTCATTCTCTATACAGGGGCCCAATTCTCGCGGCGTAGATATTATATCGGCTTCGAGATAATATCGAAAGTAGGGATATCTATTGAAAATATCTACTGATGGTAAAAAATGCTATTCTCGTGGATTTTCGATATTCCAATGATATTATATCTATCGTAGATATTCTTTCACTGCCGAATGCGTTCCGTTTTTCTCGATTAAGTTAACATCATAGTCTATATAAAATAATAATAAATTAGAGCAGAATTTTACAAGCAACAAAATGATATTTTATGAATTCCATTCATATTAAATATGAGTATACA